TCAAAGTCGTGCTTTTCAGCTTAGAGCAGAGGAGGTCAGAGCAGTGCCGGATGCAGTTGCGGGTACGTTCCTTTCTTGATATATTGTTATCTTGTGATTGTTGTGGAGTATTATTATCTGCTAGTCTCGTTGTGTGGTTTTCGGTTTGGTATCCGTTGTTCCTTGAGGGTTTGGTATGGTTATGGGTTAGTGTTTGGAATTTCGTTGGTTATCTTTCATGGGGGTTATTAGTGGAAATCTGGCGTCTGGTTTGAATATTGGGTAGCATCTGCATTCTGAGGAGTGGTTAGCTGCAGATTGAGTTTCTTTCGAGCGGGATGATCAGTGTGGAAATGTGATTTTGTGAAGCTTGCTAGTGCTAGTGGAATTAGTCCATGTGTAAGTGTTGGTTTGTGCAGGGTTGTTTTAGGAGGTCGTTGATAGCGACTGGTGGTCGATAGTCAGTGCCCTAAGTGGGGGAGAATTGGAAATTCTTCGGAAGGTCGATGGGTATAAGAGGTTGTTTAGCTGGTTGGGATCCATCAGTGGTTCTACCAGTCAAGAGTGCAGGCTGGTATGAGTAAGTGGCAGGCGTGCGGGGCGGGATACAGACCTATGGCATTTGATTGTGGAGGGTCTGGGATCTAGCCGGGATCGAGTATGTATGATGGAGATAGAGTTTGGAACCCCTTTGAGGGCTAGAACAGTATGCATGGGAGGATTTCTCGGAGAGATGACTCGGAGTGATGAATGCTAGTTGAGCGGTCCGGATAGACTGAAGGCCGGTAGGCGTACCAGTGAGGCCGAAGGCTCAGAGGACGGTCCAGCCAGACTGAAGGCCCTGGACGGCGGTCCAGATGGGCTGAAGGTTTTGAGAGTGGCCCATATTGGCTGAAGGCCTGGTAAGGCGGACTAGTCATGTTGAAGACACTGCAGGTTTTGTTAGACCGGTTCGAGGGAAAGGGTTGAATATGTCGTGATGTGTTAGCATTAGAAGGTTTGGCCCCGGGTATTGATCTTGATTAGTGGAGATAGTGCATGGACTCGAGAGTCCTTGCGAGCAGATTCAGAGCATGTGTGTTGCATGGATAGCGGTTATGCTATAAGGGAGTGGTGTAGCGTTGGGCGAGCATCGTGGTACTTGTCGTAGTGACAAGGAGACCAAGTGGATTTCCTTGGTAAGGAAAGAGAGAGAAATGTAGCTCTGAGAGGGAGTGTAAATTCATGGAATTGAAAGTAGCAGCGCAGAGTTATGATTGGAGTGGTCTAATTATGGTCTTTGAGCAGCGTGATTGCGGCAGTGGTATGGGATCACATCCGGGTCGGATGGTTGCTGAGGCTCGGCAGGAATGCATGGATGGAATCTCGGATTTCCAGCTAGACTTTGTTTTATGTGGTGGAAATTCATCCTGAAGGATGTTTGGAAGTGTCATCAGTGTATCGGGTTTTTCCTAACCCGAGCACACTAGAGCCAGTTCGGTGTGGTTATGAGATTGCGGTGCAGAACTCGTGGGAGTTGCTCTGAGGCTGAAGCATGTGTCATCCTATCAGTAAGAAAGGTAAACTTGGGTTTTGGATTTCGATGGTCGAGTCTTGAGGAGCCTGGTTCGGTGAATGCCAGATGGTGCGTTGCGTGGGTAGTTCTGGAGTAGAGTTGCCGCAGGCTTCGAGGACGAAGCCTAATTTAAGTGAGGGAGAATTGTAACACCCCGTTCTTAAAGTGTTTAATTATGAGTCCCTGAGATTTAAGAGGAAGAGTAATTTTGGTCCTTTTGCGGGAAATGGATTTTATCCGAGAAGGTTTCGGACTGGTGTATGTTGTTAGAAGCATAGGGCTTCTCGTCACCCTTGTGTGAATGTAAAGTCTATTGGGAGCGAGTTTAGAGTAGAGGAGTTGCGGCGTTTTGAAGATGATAATTAATTATAGCTCTTAATGGAAAAGTGAAAAAAGGGGTTCCATGCAAGCCATGCATGAGTTTTGGGTTGGCTGGGTACGCCCAGTGTAAGCTGGACGTACGCCCAGCGTAGTAAAGGAAAAATGCAAGGTGGCCAGGTGAGTACGCCCAGCGTACTAGAGGTACGCCCAGTGTACTCTCAGAAACCCCAAACCCTAATTTAAGGGCCACCACTATATAAGTAACATGTTGGTTCATATCCTAGCCTCCATAAGCTCACCCTTAACCTCAGAAACCCTAGAAACCCGTATTCCCTCCATTGTTGGGTGTGTTTGGCCTTGGAAAGCTCATTTTGGCAAAAGAAAAGCTAGAAGGAGAAAGGAGAAGTTGTCAAAGAAGGAGAGGAACGATTGGAGCTTGTAGATCTGGAGAGATATCATCCTTTGGAGCTTATTTGAGGTATAAAGCTTCTTGCTTGCCAATTATTTTGCATAGATCTAAGTGTTGTGAAGTTTTAGCATCTTTCCTGTCCCAAAAGTCCTCATCTTGATTCATGCTTTGTATTGGCCGAGATTATCTGTCCTTTCAGACCTTTGGAGAGGTCTTAAGTGAGAAAAATGAGGTCCCAAGGGCTGTAGTTGTTCCATGTGTGAGAAATATAGGTGTTAATGGATTAAGAGCTTTTGGACGTCCCAAGTGATAAAGTTTGAGACTTTATGAATCTTAGGCATATTCGGCCTAAGGATATGAAGTTTGGGCTTAAGAGCTTCAGCCATTAAGAAGTTATAAGAACTTAATGAGTAGCGCAGTTACGCCCCGCGTAGCGGGCCAGAGCCCCGATCCCCAGTTACGAATAAGAGTGTACGCCCCGCGTACCAAGGAGGGTACGCCCAGCGTACTCCCCCTGAGTAGACTTTAATGTTGGGCCTTAGAGTTTGGGCCATTTGTGGGTTGTTGGTTTATGGGCCATGTCTGGAAATTATGGATAGAGTATTTTGGGCCCAATTATTGTTATTGACCTTGGATCTAGGCCCATTTGGTGAGGTGGGCCCAATTTGGTAAATTAGGCCAATATTGGACTTTGTATAAGATTTGGACTTTGGCCTTGTCCCGATAAGTGGATGTATGCTTGGCCTAATGTGTATTTGTGCTATGTTGGCTAGTTCGGGATTTGCGGTGAGTTGGTGATTCGAGAATTTGCTTCTTCAGTTCAGAGTATCGGCAATCGCAATGTGAGTTATCCTCACTATATCAATAGGGTCTAAGGCACTAAGGCTGGCCCTTTATCGGATTGAGATCTGAGTATTTGTTGTTATGTTATTGCTTTGATATGTTTGCATCCTGGTAGCTAGGATGGTATATGTTCGAGATCTAGTTAAGATCTGTATTCTGATATGTAGGGTGATGCTATGCTAGTGACCGGTTAGGTCGGTATCCTGGTTAGGATGATGATATGTTATGTGATCTGTTCGATCGGCTTGTTGTCTGTGAACTGTTATATGATTGTATGTTTATGCGCACACGGTTGTTTGGACTGGAGTTGGGTTGAGGCGGGTCCTGCTTTGTGCTGTAGGCCAAGATACCCACGGCGGACCGGTTGTTCCGAAGGCCCAACGAGCGGTCCGGATAGGCTGTAGGCCCCACGAGGGCGGACCAGACGTGTCGAGGCTCAGAGAGTGGACCAGGCCGACTGAAGGCCCGATGCAGGCGGACCAGTAATACTGTAGACTCAGAGAGTAGACCAGGTGGGTGAAGGCCCGGTGCGGGCGGACCAACCACACTGCAGACTCGAGGGACATGACTAGACTCGGAGGGTGGACCCGGTGGACTGAAGGCCCGATACGGCGGACCAATCACATAGTAGACCCGATATGCATGGTTGTTCTGTGATCGGTTTTGATATGGCATGTTATATGTGTATGGTATATGTGGTTGGTATTTTGGGGGTATCTCACTAAGCTTTCGGGCTTACAGTTGTGGTTTAATGTTTTTCAGGTTCTTCAGGAGACCGTGGCAAGGCGAAGGCGTGATCGTACCGCTCCTCGTGTTTATGTTTCATGTTATGTTTTTGGGAATACTCTGATAATAAATGTATTGAAAACCTTTTTGTAATAACGTGATTAAAATGGGTTGTTTTTGAAAAGTTAAATTTTGTTGAAAATTTTGGTTGTTACATGATGCTTATAAACTTCTTGATTTTTATCAAAGACCAAATTTCATCAGGAGACTTCGTAAGAACTGCATGTAAACGAAGCATCATGTAGTTATATTCATCTTCACTCTTGAATCTATCAGACACTTTGAATTGAGGCATGAGGAACATCATTTCAATAATTGGAAAATCCAGTTGGCTCATGTCTGCATTCGAAACCATGTAACTCTGTTTCGGTTTCTTCTCAAATGCATACATGTGGTTGTAATCCACCTTCGCTTCTATAATTTCATAGTTATAAAGTTTGGCAGTATCTCCTTTGTTCAAACCTGGGGGATCACTCGCCCTTTGTCTCATTATGCTTTGAGCTACCCTTAGTTTTTCCATCTCTGTTTCGGCTTCTGCTTTCTTCTCTTCTTTTGATTTTTCAACAACAATTGTCTTGCCTTTGTCTGTTGATTTATCTGTAGCATCCTTTGTTTTCGAAACTTCATCTTGACCAGTAGATGAACCAATAACAATCCCCTTCGAATTCGGCTTTGTGATTGGCATGGAAGTTACAATAGTTGAAGTAACTGGTCCAGCACTCGAATTGTAGGCGTAGTCGATGGAATTTTCGAAGGAAAAACTTTACCCACAACCTTAGCTTCTCCCTGCGAAGCATCACCTCCAGCTTTCGCATGAGATCCTTATCCAACTTTCTTTTATCACCCTTTCACCTCTGTTCGAACAGGTGGGGCACCAGTTGGAAGAAGATTCAAAATAGTTGACAGAGGAGCTAGTTGTTTATGAATAATGGCTTCGAACTGGGTAAACTTATGTGAAAGGAACTTAGGAGTAATTATCAAAGATGTATCGGGCTTTAGCACTGATTCCTTCAAGTCTTTAAGCATCAAGATGACCTCCCCAAATTGTTGATTATCAGTTGTAGAAAGTTGAGTAATTTGAGGACTCAATCTTTCATACAACGTAACCTAATTCGTGACAGCATCACAAATGATATCAACTTTCTTATGCAAAGTGGCATAGTCATTCTGAACAACTGTTACTTCACGAACCATGTCATCACGAAGCTCTTGAAGTTTCAGATTTACATCTTCTCTCACCTTCTTCACATCCATAACGAACAGAGTATGTCTTTCCTTTTGAACATTCGTTAATTCTTTCACAGCTCCCACATGTTTGGAATTGAAAGAATTTATCCTCAACTCTATTGTATGTTAAACATGATCTATATTCTCCAGTTATCTCAACTTTGTGTCTTTAATCATACCAGACATCTTGCTCACCATTCGTGCCTCACAAGCCTTCATCAGTCCATCAATTTCGAAACTGGACACTGAACTTCCTCCCTTCATGTATGCTTGAGACTGAATAATTGAATTCAGCTTTTTATTTAGTATTTTCAATTGTTTCATAGATATGAGCATATGATCAGGGAAATCCTCCTCTTCTTCATCAAAGGACAAATCTTTAAAAGTACCGCCAAAGCCTCATTCTTCATTTTTTAGAGTCATCATTTGGTTTTGGTGGATCAGTGGATTGAGATGAAAAGATGGATGTAAAGGGTTGATCAATGATGTTTTGGAAGGTTGGTGAATCAATGGTAGAAGTAGTAGGGATGATGAATAGAGGTAAATAAACAAAGGTACTTGTAATGGGTTCGACATAAACAATAGCTGAAGTACCTTGTGGAGGTTGAGTAGTTTCCTTTGTTAAGTCTCCTTCACCCATGATGATATTTGCACCCGTATCAGATACGTTTGGAGTGATTCCTGAAGTTCGTACCTCCTCATAAGATGATTTGGTAGACCAAACTTTGGGTGGTATGACAACAGTCTTCTCATGAGAAGTAGGTTGTATAATAGGTTCAGGTTCGGGTGTTTCTGGCACTTGTTCTTCTTCAGATGATTCCATTGGAATTACTAATTGCATTTTCTTTGTCTTCTTCTTCTTCTTCAAAAATTTCTTGGCCATATCCTCAGCCCTTCATTTCTTTGAGTGAGGAGAAACTAGAGTTGGGATTTCGCGCATAAGTACGCCTTGGTGAGTAAGATGAGGGTTGCAAACCACAATCGAAGTAGGAGAGCCACCATACTTCAGCTTTAATTTGCGAAAAACTATAGACTTTCAAGGAATGGTAACTGAAGTTGGTTCTATAACAACAGTTTCAATAGGTTTTATTACAGCTTTTGAAACTACCTCGTCAGCCTTCGTCTCTAGAGACTTTGATGTCTTCGTTTTTATAAGAATCGGCTCAGGATTGATGATCTCAGTCTTCTTTGAAGTCCTAGACTTCTTCGAAGGACCCGCACCTTTTTCGTTAACAACTTCCCAGTTTCAACTTTGGGATCAATTGTTGTCATGTATTCAATAAGTATAGCATTTGTTGGATCAACTTTCTTCAACATGGCATCTGGAATTCGTGCAACATGTGAAAAGACTTTTGTATCATCATTCACTTCTTTTGGAAAATTATACTTCATAAAATATGTTGTTTCCTCCTCATCATCCACCAGAATACCCTCTTTATCATTAAAATACATGAGGATAAGACTCCAATATCATGCACATGAAATACCTTGCACGACATTCGTATTCTCTACACTCTTTTGAAATTCTTTCCAAAGTTTCATAGAGTAGTCCACCGGAATATCATAATAGATGTATACAACCATTGCATATGCTTCCATTCGTCCTTTATCAACCCCAACACTTTGACCTGTTAAGCACCATAGAAAGATTCCAAACAAGAAATTCCAGATTTTTGGAAGACCATATTTTTTAAAATAACTAATATGTGTAAGTGGGGGTTGATGACCCATCTCATTGAACATGTAGTTCACTTGATCAGTTGATAGAGTAGTAAACGGTTGAGAGCTTGGAGTATCCAAGATTTGACAAAACGGCTTCTTCGTCATCGTACCTTCTTATCATTAACCAAGTTGAAGGTGATGAAATCTAGGGCTTTAGAATATGTTGCAGTAGAACCTGCTTGAGAAATCCAGGATAGAGGTACTGCAAAGGAATTGAACATAGTTGTCGAAAGAACACAACTCTTCAAAGCGACCATTAACATCTTCAATCCTTCAGGGTAAAGAGATTCATCTGCTTCTACTTGATAGTTTGTCCCCTGAATCTTCATTATTGGTTGCAAAGTAACATCTTCAGTGGTTTGTGATGGTGCATCAACATGAGTTTGATCAGCCACGACTAGGGTTGTAAAATCATATGAAGAACAATTGAATTTTTCAGAGAGAATTTGGGAATTTTTCTTCTGAAAGCGTAAACTGATAACAAACCCTTGAATTCCTTTTTATATGTAACCCTGAGATTTTAATTTGAAGTGGGATGTGCATTTAATGTATCACATAAAGACATGATACTTTATCAGTCATTTGCCATAATATTTTATTAGCCATGTTCTCACAATTCGAACTATGAAGAGGGATGCCGTAATCATAATCGAATTTTGAGAATGCACTATGTATCCTTGACTAAATTTTATTAAAATTTCTTGATCTAAGCTTTTAGATTTTGAAACGAAGTATAATATTCTATCCCTCAATTATAGCAAAAACAACTTTTCAACCCCTGCAACTTTGCAAAGTGAAACTTTGTTTTCTATAGTTAATATTGCTAACCTACAATACTTAAAATAATAATCATGCTCCCACTAACATGATGATTATCTGTTTTACCATAACACTTATGCTCCCACTATCTTTGACATGTATTCAGAAAACAGCTGAACTACTAGAAAAACAATGTTTATTGAATTTCTTAAGCTCAAATTTCTGATACTTGTTGCTTTGATAAACCTTTATCTAAGCCTCTTAACCTCATACACCTTTCCTTAGATAGCTTGAATGTTTGTTTAAATAATTCAAAACTTATAATAATAAGTCCCAAATGTTTAGACTAATTGCCAAATCTCACAATTCGAACTATGGAAAGGGATGTCGTAATCATAATCGAATTTGAGAATGCAATTTACATAATCGCTATCTCTTTAAAATCTCTCTTAGTGAAAGCGTTTCCTCACAATCATTTTCATGAAGGAGAGAAACCTTATGACACTTAGATTTTATGGTGTATGTATTCCTATCCATGTGAATTTGTCATAACCATCATCGTAAGATAATGTTTGTGACAAATCCAAACTCATATGGACTAAACTTGTTTAATTTTGATTTCTTGCCTCATGGTAGCACGAATACCCACCATGTCTTCCAAGTTGTTCAACAACTCACCCATACATATCAATGTACATTCCATTGATCAAGATGTTTTCCTTTATGCATTCAAATGAGAACTCATAGAACTCACATGTACAATTAAACAAAGTGGAATGGAAAAGAAACAAGATTATGTCGACACGATAGGTTGTAAACCTCAAGTCATGTGCTAGTGATGATCGATAAGGTTTATTCTTGATTTTTTTCTTGAAACTTTTTCAAGATCATTAAAACTCCCGCTGACCTCTTGACATATATGATTCTCTTGTCAGGAAACTTTCCTAAACAAAACAAGTATTCAAGAGTTAGTGTAGTTCTTATCAAGACAAAAACACTTCACATAATTGGTCCTAGTTGGTCTTTGGCTTATCCAAGACAGCACAACTTACCAATTTTAAACATGCAAGAATTAGAAAACTTTTCCAAATTCCACATTTGTTGAGTGTTATAAACCTACTAAATATGTGTCACTCAATGTCACAATCTTGGAGTATGACTCTAAGACTTGATATTGGAACGAAGTATGATTGGCTTCTTGATTTAACCATTTCAACAATTCTCGATTCCTCTTCTTAGCCATACAGATGCACAAAGACTCTTATAGGATCAATTAAGATATGGTTCTTAATCATTAATACTTATCATAAAACACAATAAAAGGTACTCTCTCTTCTTCTTAGAATGGAGAAACTTTTATCTTTTTGTGTAACGACCAAAATTTCGAAACAATTAAAACTTTTCAAAACAATCCATTTTAATAACGTTGTTACAAAAAGGTTTTCAATACATTATTTAACAGAGTATTTTCCCAGGTCCATTTCATAAAACACCAACGCGAGGAACGGTACGATCACGCCTTTGCCTTTCCATAGACTCCTGAGAACCTGAAAACATAAAAACCACAACTGTAAGCCCGAAAGCTTAATGAGATACCCCCAAAATACCAACCACATATACGCCCTTCCAGGCCACAACCTTCCGGTCCAAAACATATCGCCTTCCAGCCCATAGCGTAATGCCTTCCGGGCGATAACACATTGCCTTCCGGCCCATAACATATTGCCTTCCGGCCCATAACATATCGCCTTCCGGCCCGCAACATAAAAGCATATATATATCATGACAGAACATAGAACAACCATGCATAACCGGGTTACACTCCAGACCAGACAACCATACACATAACATGTAATCATATAACAGGTCACAGTTAGCAAATCGATCAACAGATCACATAACATATCATTACCCTAACCAAGATACCATCCTAGCCGATCACTAGCATAACATCACCCTACGACTCAGCCAACATAATAATTATGCACATACGCCTTTCCAGGCCATGACCTTCCGGTCCACATTGCATTGCCTTCCAGCCCGCAACATGTAATGCCTTCCGGCCCACAACATATAATGCCTTCCGGCCCATATCCTGCAATATCATACAACAGACAATTAACCGGATTTCCATCCGATAAAAGGGTCGGCCTTGGTGCCTTAAACCCTATAGATATAGTGAGGATAACTCAACTCGAAACTGCCGACTGAACAGATAACCCAAGCTACTCCGATCCCTGATACGATCTCCACCACTAGACAGCCACCAATGCACTGAACTCAAAACCATAATCAACAATTACCAAAATACCCCTAGAAACCACTAGTCAACCCTTGGTCAAAGACTGGGTCAAAGTCAACCCCTGACTGACGCTACTCGCCGAGTCAACCCTATGACTCGCCGAGTTCCCAACTCAAAACTTCACTCAATCCGTGACCTAACTCGCCGAGTCACCCCGAGACTCGTCAAGTCCAACAACTCTGATTCCACTCGCACATAACTCACCGGTCTGCATCCAAACAGAAGCGTTCCAGACCATGCAATTGATCCAAAACATAGATCTAGCCTCCTACAACTCATCCATCATGTAAAGTGGCAATCTTTACGTGAATCCAAAGAGATCTATGCATTTTGCACATTAGGGCTAAGGTTTGGGACAATATAGCTTCATCCAACACTCAACACAGGGACTTTCCTGCATTCCAACTCTCCTCCATTCCAGATCTGAGGTAGCAACCTCAGATCTAACCTCTAGATTTCAATATAACCCAAGATAAGCTTC